CAAGAAGAAAAGGATTTATGTCGACGATATGATGTCTTCATGCGTTTTCATTCTAAGGAGGAGCATGAAGAATTACTTAAAACTGTTGTATCAGAACATAGGATTCTAAAGAGAATCCTTGAACTCAAGGTAGCAATAGCCTTTAATTTTGATTCACCAAATGAAAATAAATCTTAGGAACTGCAATGTTTTTATTACTTGTTTTTATCCTCGACAACGAAACAGAGGTTAAGTGGGGATTGTTTCTTTTGGTTTAGTGTAGGACTGTCCCTTTGTTTGCAAGTAATATATTTTCTGAGTCGAACAATCAATAGTTTGTTGTTGGTGCAACAGCCAACAAGCATTTCACACCTGCATAGTTTGTCAAAACCATCTCATTTATCGGCAGGATCATAAAGAATCCCTTAGTTGTTTATTAATCCCATACCCTACCCTCTGCCTGATTAGAAACAAGGATATCAATAAATATTCTTATCTATAGTATTTTGTTAATATTATAACTGGCTTTTCCTTTGGTGCTCACACCGAGTTGTGATCAGTAATTCCCAATTACCAAGCAACAATAGCCTGAAGTGGAGGTTGGTAAAGGAACTATGAATTTATCATCGAAATATGTGACAAATTCTTTATTTGGATCAGGGAAAAACTAAAATCAATTTTAGTTGACTTTCAAAATTGGATATGCAGGAAGCACGAGCAGCTGGATGTCGTTCATCTGGTGAAGCTGATAGATATCTTGAACAGAAAAGGAGAAGGGAAGCTGAAGACAGTGGTCACAGAAAGGAAAGTTCTCAGGCTGGTCCAAGCAGTCAGGAGAGTCTCAATGTGCCAGTTTCATCGGATTCACTTAATACATACTCAAATACGACATCTGCAGGCCACGTTAATTCGTCGTCGCTCACTGATTTGGATTTTGTCCCATTATCTGGGGCAGATTTACTTTCTGAATCTGTAAGTACGCAGTTCTTGTTTCTTGCAAAGCAAAAGCAGTTTGGCATTGGGCTCTGCTTCGTTTATTTTAACCATAGAAAACGAAGCACTACAATGAAAGTCTGATGTAGTCTCTAGATGTTGGCAATCCATTCATTAGTTGAAAATAAGTCGTCAAACGTAATTCATACACAGGCCACCTTAATTCTCAGATTCGGTAAACAAAGACTATTCATGTTATCTATCTGATTATTATTTTCTGGTTTTACTGCCTTATCTTGGCAGGAGAAACAACTGTGCCGTGAGATCAGGTTACCGGCCCCTCATTATCTCAGAATGCTGGAGTTCATGACAATACAAATGATGAGCGGCAATATTAATCAGAAATCCGATGCCTATTCCTTCTTCCAAATTGAGCCTACAAAAATAGATAGAGTTTATGATATGCTTTTAAAGAAGGGAATGGTTCAACAGTAAGACCTCTTGTCAACTCCAAATGTATTATCCATTTCAAATTTTGGTGACATCCATTTGGCCTCCTTTACATGTCTTATTAACCAGCTGAAAAATCAACTTTATATTATAATTCTTGATGGGGTGGTGCAGATTGGATTTCTTTTCTACCCCAATACATGAGATACTAAGAATCATATTTAGAGCTTCTGTATCAGGATGTATTGTTAATATGATTTACCTTAATGAATTGCGACCCTGTGATAATAGCCGATTTGATATGCTGCGAGTAAAACCATTCTTGGCCAACGTTTAATGAAGTTTTATTTTGATCATTCAATATATTGATCAGCTAGTCTGTGATAGACATCATCTCCTACCCTTCAGGGAGACAACGACTGTGTGGTGATGGAGTGGCCCGTTGATGAATTTAAGCTAAAAAAATAGCATTCAAAATTGAACTCCATCAAGAAGTGCTACACTCATTATTCTATGCTTTATGGAAGAGGCAGTTTTGGAAATTTGCCATGTCAAAAAATCTGTTAGTTCCTTGCAGTTTGTGTTGTTTTCCTTGTTAAAAAAACTATGAATCGTGTATTTCAAGCAAATTCCTGAACTGCACGAAATGTAAGAGGCAACAGTTGAAGATAATGAAGCATCCATGAAATCCTCTGCACTAGAGAATGTTGCTTGCAGAAGAAGAGAAGCAACAAGAAATAACATCTTTCCATGAAGAAACTGGAGGAATAAATAATGGAGCTTGGATCCTGAAAGTGAACCAGAAGAAGAAGATGAAGTTGAAGATAGTACAACTCTAGAAAATGGTTCACTGATGGATGAAGGAAATTATGTAATGTAAACACGGATGAACTGAACAAGAGTTCGAAGAATTTATAAAGAAGACGAAGGAAGAAATCAGAATTGAATCCCAACAACTTGTAGTGTGTAAAACCTATTCTTCAAAGCAAAACGATAAACTTCACGAGTTCAAGGGGCTCCTTTTTGGACGAACATCAATGAACTGTCCTCTTCTCTCCTGTATTTTAGACAATACAGCCCCCATACTCGGTTTTCCTTGTGCTTATTTAAGCAGAATTTATCCGTGTCTCCCCTTTTCATTATTATCGTCTCTATCTAGTTAAAATAGTGCAACTTGTAATGGAAACACTGAGAGGGTCCCAAGTTTGGAAGTTCAAACTTTATGAATCCTATGACTGCTTACCAGTAACTTCATTTACAGATAAGCAGGAGAAAGATCAGCCACAAGCCAGCAAACTGGAAGTTTCCAGCTGAAAGTGAAAACAGTTATAAAGTCATACTCTGCACAGTAATTTTCCACTGTTCAGCATCACAGAATTGAGTACTTTTTTTTCTGTAGGAGGACATGAGATTTTGGTTGTCCAAATGATGAAATGGAGCATCAGACTATTGGACCGAGCAATCCAACTTGAAGACCGTAATCTTGCCCAACTCGAACAAATATTAAGGACCAATTAAACTATTCAATCAAAGAAATTGAACATCAGAAATATCCTTCGTTACAGAGAGACAATTTTTTCTTCGATATAGTCACAAAATGGACATAACAGCAATTGCAAGTAATATTAGAGCCAAAAAGAGATCTACATCTCTACCAAGGGATTCCACCATTACTAAAAGCTCAATGCAGACGGGAACGAAAAGCAAACTCCAGGTGCTGCCGGAGAATTAAAGGCAGTTAATAGTTTAAACAAGAAATACCGTTCTGGAGAAAGTTTCTTGAACTTGAAAAAAAGTTTGTGGGCTTCTCAAAATGAGATCATAGATTCCATTAAAAAGGAGAATGCAGAAACAAGCGAAAACGCTAAGTTCAGTATTGAAAAGTTTAACAGTGATGAACTCAGAGACTGTGGGAACATTAAAAATATGGACAGTACTAAAAGGATAGTGATGATGCAGTCTCGGGATTTTTGTACGACAGACTTCAGAAAGAATTCATATATTTCAGGAAGTTTTGTGAATCGAAAGACAGTACTTTAAATGCTAAAAGTGAAGATATCAAGGTAAAGTCCCTAATTGTCCCCATGTATTTGAGCTTGTTCCATTAATATGCATGTAGTGTTCTAACGCTATGTTGATTTCAGATTCGTATGAAGAAGACTGAAACGCTAACAAGAGAACTAGAAGTAGAAGTAGAGTCGAACAAAATAAAGAGAGCAACAATAAGAGAGATCGATTCATTGCTAGTAAAGATGGATGACAAGATAATAAACAGAAGATCGTCAAAAAAGGTTTATATTTTTTCGTCAGTCTAAACTTAAACGATTTTATATGCTTTTACAACATACTAACCTTTTGACAGTTTCAATTGATCAGGATCATGAATGCTTCTTGAAATCGCCCTAGACAAGGTCCTATAATTTCATATGTATAGATGCATCAAATTTGACAGTTGTTACTTCATAGAAATAATGTCTCAATCATTAGTGAATGTCAGGCTACAAGTCTGGTTTTTATGAATTTGGGAATGATATGTATCGAAATTATTGTGATATACGCGAATGTTACTCGATTCAATGTAATAATTCAAGAACGTATTTCTTAAATTTTCACGAAATAGCAACCTGAAGCATTGGAGGAAATTTTTTATGCATACACTGATGACTGAACAAGGAAACAGAGATGATCAGCCTAAAAGCTAAACATTTTTTTATCTCTACATTGTGGAAAATTGCTATAAAATCCTGAGAGAGCTGACAGTTTTATCTTACACCATTTGATTAAACTATGGTGCAAAATGTTTGACTGGACACTTCCATGGGAATTGGGATTGCAAGGTAGTATTCCCAAAAATCTTTCAAAAGAAAAAGAAAAAAAAAAAAAGTCCTATTGTTAAAAAATTCTACAACTCTGGAATGGTTGCTAAACGTGGCCTCCATTTCTTACAAGTTCTTTGTACACTCGACTGATTTGAGATTCGTCTCAAATGGAGCTCGACTCCACTTTTAATCAGCAGCTTCAACTGCTTCCTTGTGACTACTATTTTAACTCTCTGAGAGTTGCAATCCTCTGCCATATCTGTCGACGTTTTAGAGCTGCAACGCTGTATCATATCTAAAATTTGATCATCCTCAAGCTCTATTTCGGAAGGAAATGCCAACGCCTCCTTACAAAGCTGAGAATCTTGTACAATTTTATTGCCATTGCACGAGGCTTGAACCTCCTCCTCTTCCCCTCCATGAGGTCTAATTTTTTTGTGGGATTTTAGGAACTCTGTACCTATGCAGTTTCCCATTTTGCATGAAAGATAAGTCTAAAGATAACTAATATATATACTGCAGTTTATATAGAGATTAGGTCTCAACCAACCAGCAAACGTGCAAGCCATCTTTCAAAAATTATTAAAAATCATTTCATAATGCAAGCATTTTTGGAAATAATTAGGTGGTTATGACCTTCTCGAGGTTGACTCTCATCTCATACTATAATAATATCATTAAACCATTACACAAGTCAAATAGGTAATGTTATGTTCATTGTACTTAGTACCAAAGGGTACATGAAATGAAATGCTGGAAGTGTAAAATAAAAGTCTACTTCTTGGAATTGAATGCGCTCCCACTTTTAAGTTTTCAAGGTTTTGAACATATTCCCTTTATTTCATTTCCTACTTCCATCTCCCCAATTTTATTGAAAAGAAAAGCTTAGTTTGCCGACGATGCTGGTCGATTTTGTCAATTCTGACGACGACGACAACTCAAGTAGCTAAGTCGTGTGAAGAGAACGGGTTGGGCACCTTGGCCTAGGTCCCCTTTGGTGTAAGAATCGGTTACTTGTCATTTGAGAGTATTAAAATAAAGAAAAGTATTTATGTAAGGAAATATTGAGTATTCATATATTTCGATTATATTATTACCTTGGACTCACCTTATATAGTGTTATGTTAATTATGCCCAGAAACTCTAATACCAACTGTTAAGAATTCAAGGATCGCGTATTGCTTGATACCACTTAATATGAAACCAACCACTAGATTAAAATATTGAAGTTATATAACACAATAATGAAGTATTTGATCACAAACAAAATAATAACAGAAGACAAGAAAATATAGCATATGAATTATGAGATTTTATTACACCACAAATAATCAAGATAGAGAAATATTATAATGATCCTAAAAATTAGTAATCACTTTTCTCGCACTATAAAATTGTATAGAAAAACATAATATTTGTAGTGAACATGTAGACGTCTAAACTCTTATAGTAAAGTTGTTGATGAAGTAGGATATCAAAAAGTAGAGTCCAAAACAAAAAAGAAGAGAAAAATGCAAAAATCCGGAATAGACAAGTAGCGTCGTGAAGCCACCTTCGGGGGCACGGGGCAAAACACCAAACACAGCGCCCCATGCCCGGCGCTGAGTATTCTGTGTTTCATTGCTTTTTTTCTCTCTCTTCAAGTTGTTTTCTTCATCTTAAAGTTCTTTTCCAAACCAAACTCACAATATGACTTCCAAATAGAATTTCAACTTAATAAAACTTTAAAAGCATTCCAAACTGAATTTCTCTTGACGTACACTTCAATTAGAATTCTCAAATTATTTCAACAAGGAATTCAGGTCACATTCAAATTCATATAGATTCTGAAATAAGCTTGCATGTGAATGAGACGATTATGAGCCCATGGGATAGGTGTCCTAGAATTTTCTGTATTTTGGATGGAAATAAAGGAGTGTGAAGGTTAGATTGATTAGTAGAGGCCTTCCCTAGTGTAGATACTGGATAATAAGTTTAACATGTTCGGCTTACTAATCGTTGATCACAAAACAACTGTCTCTACATCGAATATTTGATCGTGCCACGAGTATACTCGGCGGGTTGGTGTCAATCGATTGAAAACAAGATCGATTGACGCACACGCAAAAGATAATGATTGAGAATAGTTCTGTATGATCGTGACATGACTAGCATATAGTCGAGATAATGTATCATTAGCCACAACATTCATTGTATCAACACATGTGAGATCAATTTGCCCATAAT